TCCGAGACTCGGCCTCGCCGGGCCTCAGTTTCCCTAGCTGCAGGCCCGCGAGCTCGGCCCGCCAAGTTCCCCGGGTGCGCTACTTCCATGTGCGTCTGGCTGAGGCTCCGGCAGACCCCGGCCTCTCGGCTTCCGCACACACATCGCCCCGTCCCTTCCTGCCGCCCCACCGCTCCCTGGGGCTTCCTGTCCCCACATCCACCAGCACCCACGGCCCTGCCCCGCGGCGCCGGGCTGACCGGCCCAAGCGCAAAGCCTTTCCCTGGGGCCTTCCCTCCTAGCAGGGCCTGGAGTCTGCATGGAGCGCCCCACGGCCCCTGGCCGGGCCACACCCAGAAGGGCTGGGACAAACTCCCTTTCAGCTGCGGCCATGGCCCCCGCACGGGCGCCTGCCGCGGCGAGAATGGTGCAGATTGTCCATTATGTGGCCACCGTGCAGCCTCAGGGACTGTGTGTGGACACAAGGCGCCCTGTGTCCCGCCGTGTGTCAGTGAGCTAAAGAATGGCCCCGGTGGCAGCGCGGTTCCCACTGGGCGCACGTCGGGGAAGAATGGATCGCGATGAATCATGGAATCAGTTCTTCTCGGAATCAATGACTCATTATCCGGGTAATAACCAAGGCTCAGAATCTTCTGTCTGAAGGAAAGAAAAGCGATGACTCCGTGATGAAGTGTGGGTGAGGGCTGGGCCGGCCGGCCAGCCGCGAACTCGCGCGAGGCACGGAGACGACAGCTGCACAAAAGGTTCCACCCAGAGGGGCCGGGCCCCTCTCGCCTGGCGCCCCCACCTGAGAAGCTGGGCCTCTGGTCTCCCCTCGGAGGCCCCTCGAGGGGTCAGAGGACGCTGTCCTTGCGTCCGGCCAGGAGGGCGCCGCCTGGACGCAGAGGCACTGGGGGAGGAACATGGCGGGGAGGAACATGGGGGGGAGGAACATGGCGGGGAGGGCCCACAGCCACGGGCATGAGGGGCGAGGGGACCTCAGACATCCTCCGGAACCGCCGCCGCCTGTGTTGTCAAAGGGGGCCCGGAGCCAGGGGAGGGCAGGCGGGTGGACTGGGCCCAGCCGGGCCCCTGTCCCGCCGCAGACGCCCCAGCTTTGCCTACGTTTTGGGGAAAACACGCTGACGAGGCACAACCTGCCAACACCAGTGTGCCCAACTCTCAAGTGTCGGCACGAGGGGCTCCGCTCGCACGGGTGGGGACCCAGAGACTTCGGGTGCCCCTCCCCGAGCCTCTGCCCAGAATCCGTCTCCAGGAGTCCCGGCACATCCTTCCTCTCCAGGGGAGTCTGGGAAGGCAGTGGGTGGCGGGCATACTCAGTGCCCGCGCCCTGGGGACAACTGGGAGCTGCTGGGGGCGGCCGAAGGCGTCGAGAGACTCAGGGCCCCTCACCTGTGGACAGGCTCCCTGGCACTTGGGGGTGAGGATGCCACGGCCCCACATGGCTGCACGGGTCGGGGGCAAAACCCAGTCACCCACCAAGGAGCCCCCTGGAACAGAGAAGGGCAGGTCTTTGCAGAACCGCCCGGGCCGCGGTGCCTCTGCCTTCCGGGTCACGGCCCCAGAGCGGGGGCGGGGGACCCAGACGGGGCGGCCCGAGAGCCTTTGCCATGAGGCCGGAGAAGCCCAGGCCCCGAGAGCTCCCTCTGCAGCCTCCGAGGAGACCATTGTGCAGAGCCCGTGGCCGGACCAGGGCCGCACTGTGCTGGGCCACCCCGAGGACAAAGGGGCCATCCTTCTCGGGACACTGGCCTCTGTCACGGCTCCGGGGGCAGCGCGGGCCCACCCCAGCTGGCATACTAAGGAGCCACTCCTCGTTTCCTTTTTGTCTTTTCTCCTTCTTTTAAAGCAAAGCTGGCGGAGGTCCCCAGGGCCGCCTCCACACTCCCGGCCGACTGTGGTTCCTCGGCCAGGCACCAAGCTCCTCCTGGGGCCAGCCCGCCTGCCCGCCCTCACTGACCCTCTGTGTGCACAGGGCGGGGGGAGGGGCTTCTGTCCCACGGCTCCCAGCCGGCGACTCAGCCGTGGGTGCAGACATGCCCATCCCTGGGGGGACCCAGGGACCAGCAGGGAAGCTGGCTGTGGGAAAGGGCCCTACAGACACAGGCTCCCTCCCGGGAGCCGTGACGGGGACTGAGGCAACTGGGAGGGGAGCGGAGGGCAAGGGCTGACAGAGGCAGCACCAGACAGGCCCGTCCTCGAGGCAGGCCAGAGCCAGGGGCACGGGAAGGGCCCGGGAGAAGAGGCCGAGGCCCAGACGAGGCCGGGCAGACTCTGGCGGTGCTGGGGAAGCAAGTGGGCCAAGGGGAGGAGACCATGGGGGGCAGGAGGACAGGCAAGCCTGGAGGCCTAGGAGGAGGAGGAGGGCCACGTGGGCCTCAAAGCAGTAGGGACCCCCTCCAAGGGCCCAGCAGGGGCGGCATCATGCTTTACATGTGCCAGCTCCCTGGGGAGAGCTGGGAGCGGCTGAGGGGCTCAAGAGCCTCAGGGCCTGTTGGCGCTGGTGGACGTCCCTGAGCCAGTGAGAAATGCTCATTCATGGGCCTCCCAGACCTCCTGCGCCTGGTCCTGGCGGGGCCCACAGCATGTATCCACAGGTTGCCCACCCCTGGCAGAAAGAGCTCGGATGCGGGCGGGGGCAGGACAGGATTTCGACCCAGGACTCCACGTCCAGGGACTGTTGCCCGCCTGGCTGTGCTCACCCCCAAAACCAGGCAGACTGAGCTGCCAACAGACACAGGGCGCTCCGGCCTCCCAGGCCTGGGCTCACCTTCCCTCACGCCACGTGCGGCCGTCTGGGTGGAGAAATATCTCCAGGTGCCATCAGGCTGCCACATATGCTCTCCTGAGACTGGGGGAACCCCTCAGGTCCACTCTGCCTGCCCTCTGGGACCCAGTGAAAAGCAGGGACGCCACTCTGCCCAGACGGGTCAGCCTCCCACCCCCGGAGGGCGTCATGCCTTGGCACCCTCTCCCTGTCTCCTCCTTCCCCATGCTGTCACCAAGGTCAACTCCATCCCTGGCTCAATTTGCTTCAGCCCCAAAGGCCCAAGGCATGTGGTGTCTCTGTTTTTTCTCGTGGTATGGCCTCCTTCTGGAAGCTTCCGTCTGCTGGTCCTGGGCCTCGTGGAGCAGCTGCCTGGACTGCCTTTGTGCCCCTGGTTGGGGGCAGGCCAGCAAGGACCCCGTGGAACCTAACCCGCCTGCGGTCCACAGTCCGTCTCCTGACTCCGCCACAGAACTCTCGAAGGATGAGGATCCCAAAGGTGGAATTCAGTGAAGACACCGAACTTCCTTCTAGCATTTCCGCTGACCTCCAGGTTGGCCTTGAGACCTCCTTGAACCTGAGGTTTCTTCCTAAAATGGAGCCTTTGGGGGCCCGGCCTGAGCGCACTTAGTAAGCATCGATGTGGCCTCACGGCCACACCACTACATGCAGAAGGCACTGGGATTTGTCTCCCTGGCAGTCATCCCAACGGCATCCCCCATGGCAGGACCACCGGGGGCCGCCCCGGACCCCACGAGAGAACACAGGGGCCACGTCGGACCCTGGAGGCGTTTCCTGGGTGAACCGTACCCAGGGAGGCTCCCAGATGCCAAACAGCCTAGCAGCCCTCGACAAACGACTCGTGAACGTGCCACACACGGGGTCACCACAGCCAGGAGACAGGGGCCATCCAGGCATCTACCGAAGGTCGACAAGTACACACGACGGGGCCCATCGGCACGGCGGGGTACCACTCAGCCTTGGAAGGAAGGAGACTCTGACACCTGCTACCACAGGGACGGGCCTCGGGGACACTGTGCCTGGAGAAACAAGCCGGTCACAAAAGGACAAGTACTGCGTGACTCTACTTCGCTGGGGTCTAGCGTCGTCACACCCATAGGGACTGAAGGTGGACGGCGGCTCCCAGGGGCTGGGAAGGGGCTGGAGGGGACAGGGTTTCTGTTGGGGGAGGTGAGAAAGTTGGAGATGATGGTGGTGACGGCTGCACAGCACCGCGAACGTGCTTCACGCCCGGAACGGTGCTCTCGCAAGGGTTCAAGTAGTAAATGTCACGCCATGTGTATCTGACCACAACGAAAACCCACAGAACACCAGGTAGCCCCCGAATGGCAGCTGACCCGACCCTGGGGCCAGACAGCGTGGGGGGTGCCCTGCTCCGAGCTGCCCGGGGTCCTCTGAAATAACTTCCTAGACATCGGGCTTTGTAGGAGGCGAGGGAGCCTGGGGAGCCTGGGGACCCTGAAGCCAACGGGCAGCAGGAGGCCAGGACAGGTGCGGGGGGTCCCAGAGTCACAGAGGAACAAGGACCGTGAGGGGCGAGTCCTCCTCCCCCGGGCTTGGAACGACACTGGGCTCTCGGGCCCCAGCGCTGGCCGCTGAGTGTCCTTTTAAGTAGAAATGCTATGTTCCATGAATAAAATAAATGGGGAGATATTTTTATACTCAGAAAAATGGATTATAGCTCTTGGCAACACGCAGACTGCAGGAGGCTTTTGCGGAGTTTCTGGACAACCGTAATTTAAACGGAACCTGGTGCTTTTGGCAGCTGGTCACCTCGCCCTCCCCCCGGGGCTCCGCTGGTCAGAGGGCAGCGTCTACTCTGAAGGAGGGGGTGCCTGATGCCCTCCCAAGCCCCACCACTTAGGGGGCCGGGGTAGCGGAGGTGGGGGGACAGGACAGCCTCACTCGGGATCTCAAAGACCCATCAGGGGTAGTGACGTCCAGGGGGACCATCCTCTCTCCTCCACCCCCAAGAATGCCAGCCTGCAAATGCCAGCCTGCAAATGCCATCTCCAAAGACCCACCAGGCCCCGGGCGGTCCTGGCCTCACGGCCCTGGCCCTGGGAGTGTCCATCTCACTGCCCCAGGGAGACAGTCTCCAGGGCTCCCAGAAGCGGCTGACCAAGGCCGCCTGGGGTCTGGGCAGCTGCATCCCACCCGGAGTCGTAATAACAGCAATTATTAGAACATTGGCCCATAACTCACCGGCCACCCGGCAGGCCACCTTTCCACCCCAGACTCCTCACTGAGCATCTTTTGATTCCTTCAAACTCGACCGTCGCCTGCCCGGCCCTGCGGGTTTCCCTGCACCCGGGGCTCCCACATCACAGGGCACTCTACATGCCTGCGCCCGCCTGCCCGCCCTGCAGGGAACTTGGGGTGGATGGAGGGGCTGGATGGGGAGGGGCCCCTCGGTCACGGCCTGTCCCATCCCGGCCTGACCATCCCAGAGTTGGGCCGTAGCCCGGAAGTGGGCTCCTGCCCGTGGGCCCAGGCACACTGGCTCTGGCGAGCTGGAGTCTACTGAGGGCCTCAGCGCTGCTTCTGTACCTGGCCCGAGGCTGGGGAGGGGGCGAGGCCCAGAGAGGCGGAGGGGAGAGGGAGCAGGGGGGAGGGAAGAGGAGGACAGAGGGGTCTGGGCCTGCCAGGACGGTGTGTTTGGGGAACTCCGGGGATGTGCGGTGACCTCACTTCTTCCCCTCACAGAGCTGCCTCCGCACGTCCCTGGGCCTGGCGAGGTGCCAGCTCCCACACTGCACTGCGGGGGGCTGGGCCACGTTCTGGAAGGAGGCTGAGATGCCGCCCAGCCTCGGGCTTCGGGCCTGACCCTCCCGAGGGTGCCAGGCCAGCGTGACGGCGCAGGCCCGAGAGGCTCCGTCTCTCTGCAGACAGCTCCGCGGAAGGCAGGCGCGATCAGGCCGCTCGCATGTGGTGCGCACGCGTCATGGTCAGGGCCAGGGCAGGGGGAGACCACGTGCCGGTCCTGCTGGAGCGGGGGGAAGGCGTGGGAGCAAGTCTGGGCCAAGAGGACCGGCCCCTTGGGCGGTCCCAGCCCCGTGGGCCAGGGAGCTGACGACGCCCCTCACACCCTTCGCCTCACCCCTCTGAGCTGCCAGCGGGGGCCTGGTGGGCGGGTGGGCCTTGCCCTGGGAATCAGGACCAGCCAAGGGCACGGGTGGAGGGTGTCCCGGGCTGAGGACATGGGACAGGGCGGGGTTGGCTGGGCAGCGTGGCGGGAAGGAGCCGATGAGCTCAGGGATGAAGCGGCCGCGTGACCAGCACCCGGCCCCCACGGCAGGTGCACACGGTGCTTCACGAGAGTCTCTCACTCAGCGCAGCTGCCCGTGAGCTCTGGGTGCGTGTCCTGAGCAGCACGGAGATGACACGGCTCATAGACAACGGACCTGGGCCAAGGGACCCGCTGGGCGCAGCACCCGGGGCCACACAGTCCTGACTCACCCACGGTTCTCTTTCAGACACGGGCTAGGAAGGCACGTCTCCACGGCCCCCCATGTTGGCTCTGGGCTCAGCTGAGGGAATTCTGGGCAAAGGACTCCCTTCTCCCATGTCTGCTTGTTTAGGGGACAAAGAACACAGAAGCCAGAATTCTCTGGGGTCGTCTCAACTGCTCACCTCCGTGCCAAGCTCTGACGACGCAAACTGGCACTTTGGAGACATCTTTGAACTTGAGTGGAAAGATTCTCAGGAATTCCAAGGACACAGCAGTGGGGGAGCGCTCCAGGGGGCCAGAAAGTGTGAGGCCAGTACCTATGGATTCCCAGTCCAGCCATGGGAGGGTCTGGTCCTCGGATATCAGCCAAGGTAGGTATGCATCACGGCTGAGCAGACAGAGGAGCTGGGCTTGGTGGGGTCCTGAGGGATGCACAGGAGTTTGCAAGGCAGAGCAGGGATGAGTGTAGCAGGGACAGGAGAGATGAGTCTGGAGTAAAACATTCACCTGCTAACCTCCTATGCGTCACGAAGCTGCATCCCTGTCGGGGCCGGGCCCAGCCCTCCCTGCACAAGCACATCCTCGGCCCCGACCAATGCCAGACACAAAGGAAGGCTCGGCAAGCTTTCAGGAAGAGAAACGACACGCAGGGTTCCAAGACCGGGGATCTCTGGGGGCCGAGAGGAGGAGGGAGAGGTGCCACAGAAGGCAAGGCATCAGGGCCAAGTGGGGAACAGAGCGCCCCAGCCAGGAAAGAGCCCACCCCCCGCCCCCTCACACCACTCGGGCTGAGGTCCGTGTCCAGGGCCAGCCCGGCCCTGGTCTGCCGGTGGCTGAGCTTGCTCCCAGCCCCACCCCTAGGCCTGGGTGTTTGCACACACGGCACCGCGGGGCCATCTTCTGGGACAGGCCCGAGAACGGTAGCTGGCAGGACTGCTGGCCGCATCCTCCCGGTCACCCCCACTCCTGGGCTGGACTTCTGTCAACCCAAAGCGCAGCCCACGGGTGACTCTGCGGCCTGTCCCCCGGGCCAGGGTCGCGGCCCACCCCCCCGCGACCTTCCTCCCACACGCGTCCCCCATGGCCTGGGCAGTTCCTGGGCCTGGGGCTCCTTCCTCCGCTTCTTCCTGAGGGGAGACGGAGCATCCCCACCCCGTGGACAGGCTGGCCCCGGAGGCCTGGCAGGGGCCGAGCCCCGAGGCTCCAGCCCGGGACATGTGAGGCCTGAAGAGAAGCCCGCTCCTTCCGCTGAGCCGGCCCTCAGTGGCCTGGCAGGGGCCCCGGGGGGCGGGCCGTGACTCACTTCCTGTGCCATCGGCTCCGGAAGCAGAGTGGGCCCGCTTGGCTCCCAGAATTGCCACGGCCGTGGGGGACGCAGACGGCTGCCGGGGAAGTGGATGAGTAAATGCCCGCCCCAAAATAGCTCGGGCTGGACGAGGCGCAGGGCCGGACACCAGCCCTGAAATAGCGCGGCCTGGGCGGCTGGAGGGGGTGGGCACCGCCCGGACAGTGGAGGGCGGAGGTTGCCTGGGAGCCCGGGAGGGACCCTCGGAGCGGGCCGTGTGGGGCCGGCTGGTGTCCTGGACGCGGAAGGACTTGAGCCGCCTGGGCAGTGGGCTGCGGCCGAGGCCGCAGGAACCCCGGGTGCCGGGGACAAAGTCATCCTCTGGCTTCAGGGCTCCCACGTGTCGGGCACAGGCCCTGAAGAGGCAGGACCGTGGCGCGCGAGGCGCCCTGCAAAGGAAGTGCGTGGGGCCATGGGGTTCACGCAGCAGGCGGGGCACGGATGGACGATCTGCTCAGAAGGGACGTTTCAGTGGAGCCGAGAGGAAAAGCGGGAGCCAGTGCGGCTCCCGGCACAGGGTCGAACACAGACCAAGGTCCTGGGGCAGCAGAGGGCAGGCGGATCCCCGGCACCACCAGCAGACGGTGTCACTCGGGCCCCTCCCTGCCCAGCCCGAGTCAGAGAGAAACCCTGGAGGATGTGGCTGAGACAGCGTCTCCAGCTCCAGCATGGTCAAGCCTCCTGGCTGCTGGGCGGGGGCAGCCAGGGGCCAAGCGCCCAGCAAGGGCACGAGGGGACACCCACCCCTTCCTGCGGGGCACCGACAGGGTAGCGAGAGGAGCCTGAGGCACTGGGGAGCCCGGCTGCAGGGCGGGGCGATGCCCCACGTCCGGGCTGGCCACGGGGCCCAAAGCAGGGGCTCCTGAGAACAGAGCACGGCTCCTTCCCAAACAGAGCAGGCGGGGACGGCGACATGGGGAGACCCCACGCGAACGCTCCATGTTCTGAGAACACAGCGGGACGCTGGGCACCCAAGGCGGGCATCCCATGCTGCGGTCAGTGCTTTTGGGGTCCGTAAGCATAAGCTCTCCCCACTGCCTTGAGAGGCCACCATCCCGGATGGTGGGCGAGGCTGTGGTGGCGGATCACCGGCGCTGACCTGGAGATCGTCCCAAGTGCAACCGAGCCACCACGGATGCCCTCGACCCGCCTGGTGCCTGCAGACAGCGGCCACGACCGAAGACCCGTGGCTGCGCCAGCTCCTGCCTGCAAGCACCTTACTTCGGACTGAGCCTTTTTCTCTTGGCAAGATCTTTTAGGCGACACGTGTGGCTTTTCAGGGCTAAAACATGCATCACCTAGAAGGCAGTGTTTGCAGAGTGGAGCTGGTGGGGACCTGGTGTGGACAGAGCCTGTGAAGCCTTCACACCAGACACGGAAGGACACACTGTGTCCCAGAGACAGTAAGTGATACTCACGTCCACTTCTCCTTGATCAATCACGTAGAAGTTATCTCCTTCGTTCCCTGTAACAAAAAAAAGAGGACGAGATGTGCATGGCATGCAAAGGACATCGAGACATCCACATCACATTTTCCTTGCAAACAACCGCATGCCGCCTTCTAGAGCCCTAAGCGACACCAGGGCCCCACGTATCTTAACAAGACGACTCTGGAAACACATCGAGTCAGCTTGTGAGACAGCCTGCTCTCAAGTATCGCGAGTGAGCCCTCTCGAGGACAGACAAGCCGAGTCTCGGACTGATGTACGCATTTAAGTGCACGGTCCACTTGCCCCGATGGCTTCGGCTGGGAGGGGGAGGCAGGACGTACCTTGCTGGATCACGGTCTCCCCGGCAATGTGAGTGACTGGAAACATGGCGTCAAAGATGTCACTGAAAAACAAAACGCAGGCCAAGTTGGGGCTGCAGGCGGCACCTGGCGATGGCCTCGCCCCCCACCCCCCCTTCCCTTCAAGGTCTTGTTGAAACAATTCACAGTCATCGGGGAAAATGAGAAAGAGTTCACCGAAGTTAAAGAAGAAAATTAAAACCCCCAGAGGAGGTCCAGCGCCCTCGGCACACAACCTCCCGGACCACTGCTTCACACAGATGTGGACGTGGTTTGCTGTCTTCACTTTCACAAGAACGGGATGGCACGACACGCGCCGCTGTGAGTTCCACACCAACAAACAGAAGCAGCAAGAGACGGTGAACGTCCCTCCTGCCCACAAACGCGCTTCGGCTTGAACGGGACAACGTCTCAATGTTCTCTGCTTTTCCTTCAGGGGACACCGCCGGTCAAGGTGGAGTCCCGGGACACTCAACGCAGAAGCCAGAGGTAGCTTCCCCCATGTGAAAAACACGGACCCTCGTGCCACGCCAGCTCGGGGCTGGGCCCACGGGTTCCTCTGAGCCCGCCCAGCCCCGGCCGGCCAGTGAGGGTCTCCGAGTGTGTCCTTCTGCAGTGGGCGGAGCCCAACCTGGACCGTCCCACGGCGTCTAGGTCTGGACATGAAACGGCTGCACAGGCACAACCGAGGGGGTGAGGGGGCACGGGCAGAGGCCCGGGAGACACAGGAAGCGCCTGACTCCAGGAGGAGAGGGCACCTGCTGCAGGACCCTTGTCTCGCTGGGACGATGAGCAGAATGTGTCACCCTCCGAAATGCAAACACCGCCTGTGGAGAGGGTCCCTGCAGGTGCTGGGCTCCCCCAGAGACACTGTGAAACAGTGCAGGTCGGGCTCTGGCCATGACGCCCCCGTGACGCTCAGGCAGCCTCCTGCCTGCCCTGACCACGGCAGAAGGACACTCTCGGAAACCCTCGCCCGCCTGCTGGGGCTGGGCCAGAGGAGCCACAGGTGCCCGGGACGCGGGGGTGTGGAGCCCCTGGGAAGCAAATGCAGCATCAAAGACCCAGACGGCCCTTGCCGCTGATTCCAGGGTCCAGAACACCTAAATACGTCCTTCTTAGAATAGTGACCCCTTCCTATTTAAGAGATGCTTCTTTTTCCAGTGCTCTTCCCAGCTGCCCTAGCAACCCGGCTTCCTGTTTCCTGCATTCTCTCCAGGAGGAGGGGTGTAGGCGGCAGCTGTAGGGAGGTCGCAGCCCCAGCACCCGCCTCGCCCCCAGGGACATTTCTGGCCCCAGCCCTCGCCATAAGCACCTGCAGGAGCCCTCCCGGCCCTGTTGTCCAAACTGGCATTCCTCAAAACCACAAAATACAGGTTCTCAGACTGAGCAGAGCTTTAAGAAGTGATTTCACAATTTCTTTCTTTTTTTGTTTGCTTTTAATTTCAACTTATCATGGTAAAATACTTCAAAGAATGCCAGAAAGAACCAACACAGTGTGCCCACCACCACACAGCTGGGTACCACAGTTGCTGCAGATTGCTCTCTTCTAGAAAGTTCTCCAGCATCACGGATGTGGCCCAGCCCTCCCGGCCCTGGGGTGGCGGGTCTGCCCTCTCCCAGGCAGGCCCTGTGGTGTCATGTCACACGTATGCACCCATGGAAAGGGCTCGTGACCTCTTGGTGTCTTTGCCACTGACATAAGGACGCCCTAGTGCAAGTCCATCCTCCCTCTCGGCCACGTTTTCGAGACGGGTTTGGGTGAACACACGCCTGGTGAGCTTACCCAGCTGCTACCCAATGTCACCCATGCAGACACACCTCAGCTCTGAGGAGGTTTCGAGCATCTCCACGTTCCTGCAACCACAAGCTAGGCCTCAGTGAACATCAGAGCTCCCGGGAGGGGGACAGAAACAGAACTGCACCCCTAGCACTGCGGGCTCACCATCCCCGCATGCGCCTCTGCTCTGGCCCGGGCCCAGGATCTACTTCCCGGGAGGTTTAGATCGCACGCAGGGCGGTCCAGCCCCTGGCATCAACCAAAGCCGACTGTCCACGCGCCCAGGCGCCTGAGCTCGGCCCTGCTGGAGCAGCCTCTTCTGAACACCCCTTAATGATGCCGGCCGGGGCTCTCTACCGAGCACACAGGGACCCTCCACGCCCCAGGCAAGGGGTCGACAGATATGCGGCTGGGGAGTTGGAAGAAGAGAAGAATCTCAACTCCGAGCCGCAAACCTGGGCGTGCAGCCTCAGCTGCCAAAAATGCCTGGGACTCTTTTGCCCTCAGAAGAAGCTTTACCGCTCCACGCCCAGGGCCCATCATGACAAGGCTGCACACGGACCGCGTAGAGGCCACAGCCTTCCCTCGTGCTCTGAGCAGGCCTTCTGCCTCCCCGTCTGAGTGCTTTCAAGCAAAACCAAGTCCCTCCCTCTCTCCAGCACCTGACGGCTTTGAAGGGCACGAGCCTCTCCTGCCTGCAAAAGAGAAACGCCCTCTGCTCCAACCCAGGCATCACCTCCGGAAGGCTGCCAAAAGCCCCAGGCACAGGTCCCATCGGCTCGCGTTCGGGTGCCCCATCCGTCCCCCGTAGGCAAGTGCGGGAAGACCTCGTGCCACTCTTCCCTTGGGGAGAGGCCCACAGCCCCTGGCCCACCCCCTGCCACAGCGCAGCTGCCCCATGAGGTCAGAACTGCCCGTCACCTCCACCTCCAGATATGGGAGCCAGAGCCACTACGTAACTTTGCCCAAGGTCAGGAAGCAGCTGGCAACCTGGCCTCCCTCAGGCACAGAGCAGGGGGCCCCCTTCCCCACCTCCCTCCTTCCTCTCTCTCCATTCCTTCCTCTCACAGTCTCTCTCTCCCCCACCCCCGTCTCTTCCTATCTCCCTCTGTCTCTCTGCCCCTCCCTCCCTGTCTCCTCCTCCATCACTCCGTCTCTCTCTCCCGCCCTCTCTGTGTCTCTCTCGATGTCCCTCCCCCCTTCCTCTCTTCTTCCCCCTCTCCCTCCCTTTTTTCCTTTTTTCTGTCTGTCTCCATCTGTCTGGCCTGCTCTGGCCCTCTATGCCTTGGCCTGGCCTCTTAGGTAGGGTTGGGCCTGGGTGTCTGGCTCTCTTCAGAAAGTGCCCAGAGGGGAGCCACAGTTGGCAGGGGCAGGGCAGGACCGTGGTGCTGGGTCAGGATGGTTTCCTGGGAGCCGACGCTCCTGGGTCCCAGTTTCCACCCAGCCTGGGCTCAGCGATCACAAGCCCTTTGCAAGTCCCCAGCCAAGCCATCCCCATTCTGAGGCCTCTTCCTCCTGTAGTGCCTCAGCCCTGTGCTTCTCACTCTGGATGTGGTTTCCTGGTGGCCTGTCTCCACTAGCTTATTGTGAGTTCTGAGAAGACCACGTGTCCACTGCCATCTGCTGCACAGAGCCACCTGGGTCTGACTCAGCAGGGTCTTCCGTACAATATGGACAGATGGGTGGGTGGGTAGATGGGTGAATGGACGGATGGTAGATGGGAGGATGGGTAGACGGATGGGCGGATGGTAGGTGGATGGACAGGTGATGGATGAGTGGACGGGGGATGGGTGGATGGTGGACGGTGGATGGATGGATGAAAGTGTAGGTGGATGATTGGGAGAGTGGATGCATGGGTGGGTGGATGGAAAGGTGG